TGTGTGTGTGTGTGTGTGTGTGTGTGTGTGTGTGAGTGTGTGTCTATGAGAGAGAGAGTGAGTGTGTGTGTGTGAGTGTCTATGAGAGAGAGAGAGAGAGAGAGTGTGTGTGTGTGAGTGTCTATGAGAGAGAGAGTGTGTGTGTGTGTGTGTGTGTGTGTGTGTGTGTGTGTGTGTGAGAGTGTCTATGAGAGAGAGAGTGTGTGTGTGTGTCTCTCTGAGGCCTCTTAATGTGTGAATGAATCAGTGAAGCTCTGAGGATTCCTCACAATGACCGAACACTATGTCTGTGTGTGTGTATGTATGTGTGTATGTATGTGTGTGATCTGCAGGCGTGTGTTGACCTTAGTAAGTGGACACTGTTGGGCTCTTCGCTAATTTGTGGTCGGCGGCTAGAAAGCATCGCCTTCATCATAGAGGCCACATCAAGACAGAAAGTTCCAGCGTCTCCATACAGAACCAACGAGAAAGTAAGTCCAGATCTTCCTACACAACACACACACACTCATTAACACACTCATTTCATTTAAGTTGATTTTTCTGAGCTCACTGACAGATATTTGTTCTTGTTTCATCGTTTGCCATTGTCATTCTGTCAGGTGTATTTAGAGCATGTTCTCTGTTCTGCTGATAAGTGCCCTCACTGAAGAGAAGTCTGTGTGTGTCTGTCGTCCAGGTGCTGAACTGGTCTGATTACTGTCTGCCGTTGGCGCACAGTCCAGGACAGCCGTACCGGGCCGTCGCTGAAGCCAGCCTGGAGAATTTCAGCCGCCTCGGTGTGGCTTTTATGGAAGATCGTCTGCACATGGGCAATGGGCTCATACCTGAAAAGATAGTTTGTTAGTTTGACCACAGTGAGTGACGTCTTTAGGCAGGTGTGTGGATTCCTAGAGTCGCACTAACGCAGTGTCTGTGTTTCTCTCTCCTAGCCGTTTTACTCAGAGAGACGGCGCTCAGAGAGCTGTTCGAACAGCAGCAGGACGGCAGGAGGATCGAGGCCGAGCGTCACAGCGAGCCGACGGAGCCACGAGACTCTCCACAGCCTCCCAGAAAGAGCAGCCTTCATCTGGAGCAGCAGCACATGGACGGACACCACCTGCATCTCTCCAGCTGCCACGAGTGTCTGGAGCTGGAGAACAGCACCATCCTGTCTGTGAAGTGCGCCTCCGCGGAGAACATTCCGGATCTGCCCGACGACGAGGAGGAGAGCGGGAGGAGGAACGCCAGCGGGAAGCCACCCAACCTGCTGGTGTTCACAGGCGGCTGCGAAGAGCAGTTCCAGAAGATCCGCTCGCTCCTGGAGGAGTGTGTGGACACGGAGCGCTACGCCATCTACCACCTGCGGCCGCAGCAGGCCCTGAGCGAGCCCTGGCTGGAGAACACGCTGCTGCTGGTGCTGGCCACTGATGAGACGCTCACGCCACAGCTGCAGCTGCGCTTCCTGTCCTACCTGAGCCACGGCGGGAAGCTCCTGGGCCTGTCGTCCTCACTGTGTCCCGCCGGACTCACGCTGCAGCCCAGAGACGCACAGAACGACCGCATCTGCAGCCTGACCTTCAGCAGATCGGACAGCACGGAGCTGCAGCTGAGCGTGTTGTCCAGCGGGAGTGTGTACGAGCGAGACGGAGCCGGCGGAGGAGAGGTGGAGCTCTGGGGCCAGATCAGCGCGCGGGACGAGCCGGAGATGGCCATCGTGCGCGTGACTCACGGAGAGGACAGCGGAGAGGCCATCCTGTGTCAGGTAATGAGCTCTACTTAAACTACACCCTTAAAGTATGCGCATACGTTGGAGTGTGTAGTAGAAAGGTTGGCAAGCTTTAGGACACGCTGCTTCATCATAACTGTGTCTTGCATAGTTAGGTGCATCTTGTCACCATTTAAACTGCCCTGTCAATCACGGGTGCTTTCAAAACACTAAATGACGCACTACACACTATGCACTACACACTATGTACTAGACTAGAGTATGAATTATATAAGGTTATTTTATCCCGCTTCGAGTGCATGGAGTGTCCAACATTCCACACTCCGTTTCTTTCGGTTATTTAAGTGCATCATCCATGTATTTAAAGTGCACTTTTTCTTTTTGGAGTTTTCCGTGCATAAGGACGCGATTTGGGATGCACCTTTGGTGAAACACTTTGCTTCTAAATTATTTTTCAGACCCAGTGGTTCATAGCACATATTAATCTTCCAAAGTCACATGATTTCAGTAAGCGAGGCTTCGTTATGGTTCGTGATGATCTCTGTGAACCATCGTCTATGGTGTTTTTACTTTAGTTTCTGCTGCATTTACACAGTTTTGACCAGCAGGTGTGGCCAGCGTGTGCCGTTTCGAGTGCCTCATCATTTTGCGAAGCAGTTGATTCAAAGATTGGAGAGGTTTGTTTCTCACCACTACAGAACGGTTCTCTTGTGTCTGCGCTCCGCAGGTGCGTTTGGAGACGGCTCCGGATGCTCATGATGCTCAAGGCTCCGCCGGCTTCTCAGAGCTGAAGATGAGCAACGGCCGGCGCTACGAGGTTCTGACGGAGATCCTGACGTCTCTGGGTCTGAGCTGTGAGCTGAGTCAGGTGCCTCCACACAGCCCCATCTACCTGCTCAGCACAGACACGGTGAGAGACACGTCTGCTTCTGCAGCGCTTCATACAGTGCAGCTCGATTCACAGCAGCTTCACAGATAAACAGGAAGATAACAGTGTCAACGTGTCCGTCACAGTGTTGATTACCAACACTAACCCATTACTGTGTTGCCATCAGATCCGTCCATGATATTCCTAACCTACACGTACAGATGTGATCGTCAGTTTAGTCTTTTATATATATATATATATATATATACACACACACACATACAGAAATTATTATTATTATTACATCCTGCCCAATCTTGTCTAATGAAACAATGTTTATATTAAAAGCAATGAAAACTATATATACTATAAATTATGTGCAAAAAAAAGGATTAAAATCACATTACATTCTAACATTGTAACATTACAATCTAAAAACAAAAATAATGCTTTTAAAGCAGAAGTTAAATTCACTAAACTAAAATGAAAATGAATAAAAACAAAAGCGCAGACTAATTCGCTTGTAGGTTTAAAATTTTACATATGGCACAGTCATGGTCCAAAATGTAGCTATGATTTAAAAGGTTTTTAAAATGATTTAAAGTGGTTTGTGTCTTTGGAGTCTTGACTGAGAGCTCTTATGATTAGTGCTATAAGAACAGAACAGCCCAGATCTAGTTAAGTGATTGACACCAACTTCTGTCATCAGATGAAACTCAGTCAGTGTAATGCAGAGTTCTGTCCACAAGGTGTCAGTCTTTGTCTGTGACAACCTGATTTTACTGAAAATGATCAAAAGTGAGATAAACAATAAAGGCATCTCTGATATTTGTGCATTTGATGTTAGATGTTATGCATGAAGTATAATTTAAATGCATGCATATATACAAATCAGATATATATATATATATATATATATGTGTGTGTGTTCATATGCATGCAAAAAGGTAATTGTAGCAGTAGAGGCAGTGAAGTGAAGTGCGTGTTTGACATCAGTTCATTTAGTTTTCCATTCGCTGCTCTGGTCAACACTGTTCTCGATGACCCTCGGACAGAAGCATGTTCTTTGACGTCGATCATTTACTAAGCGTTGTTCATTGAACCTCTTTTATGATTGCGGCTGCCGTTTCCCACAATGCCTCTGTCTGTCTGTGCTAATGTGGAGCTGCGCTCTGCTTGTTAAGATGCTGTCGCTCCCCAGAGACGGCTGGATTGTGTCGTCTGATGAGAGACGCGCCGGCGGGCCGCTCTAATTGATTAAACGGCTCCATGTTCTTCAGCTGATAATAAGGTCATTAGTGCAGCGTTTGTCTGTTTACTCGTCTGCCTCCACAGCAGCTTCACATGCCCTGATCGTATTTCACAGATTAAAAAAATAATAATTTTATATATATAT